GGGGCTGATCCGGTATCAGTATCGACCTCCGATACCAGCATAATTTATGTATTGGATTTTTCTGATCCATGATTCACGTTGGCTTCAAACTATGGAATGGATTTCCTGAACTGCGGCGTGTCTCATGAACCCAGAGTAATTAGACCCACCTCACATTCTGGAAATCCAGTTCATAGTTTGCAGCCAGCTACAATGTGAGGGCTGAGTTAGCAACACTGTGGCTAACAGCTAACCAACTTTTCATCTAAACATGTCCGCTGTGTGGAAGTATTTTACACTAGAAACACCATAAAATAAGACAGCAACGTGCAATGTCTGCAGAGCCATAGCGCCACATTAAACCAATGTAAAGATAGTTTTATGATGGACATTCGAGCTTCGGGGCTTCAGCGGGGCGCTACTCTTGCTCAACCTGAAACAGGCAACTCGACCCCGGCCAGCCGTGTCCAATCTGTCCGTCTCTGAGGAGAGGCAGACTGAGAGCGGCTGACCGAAATCAGACTCCCTGCTTTGGATTGAACAAGAAGATGTCGCTGAAGCCACGGAGCTCGAATGTTTACTGAGAAGTTGCTAAACTTCATCATAATTAATGACCAACTGCTATCGGTTGTAGAAAACAAAGGATTTTGCAGTTCGATACTTGGAGCCAAGATATAGTTTACCCTCCAGGAGATATTTATCAGTATAACAATAGACAATCATAAAAAAAAACATGATATAAAAATTACAAGAAAATTATATATATATTTTTAAAAAAAGAAACAAAAACAGCTACATTATAAAGTGATGTAAAATACTAAAAACAGGGACATGTCTGTTGGTTTATGCCATGAACTTAGCAGATGTTTAAAGCCATTTAACATTTTATTTCATTTAATTCATTTATTCATTTATTTAAAAGAAACATAATAAACAAAACAAGTTCATCAAAAAGAAAACATTGAATGAAAAGAGTGCAAAAAGAAGAAAAAAATGTTTATATCTGCCCCTTATTTAAAAAAATATAAAATAACTTTAAACAATCATTTAAATTAATCGCTTTAATATCCACTTTAAAGCTAGGAATAAAAAATATATATATTTTGTGTTAGAATTTAATTCTAGCTTTGAAGTTTATCCAACATTAATAAAACTTACCTCAAGTTGCCTTTTTGGACATGCATGCATAGATTTATACAAATTGTACTTGCCTATAGAGAGGAGATTATTACAGCCTCTTAAAATCAATAATGATGATGATATTGGGCCACGCCCACTTCTACGCAGCAGAACGGAGATCACTGAGCAGGAAGGCGGAGGGAGGAGGAGCTGCAGGAGGACGTTTCTCCTGCAGTGTGGGCTGCACAAATGTGCAGCAGGTGTTACATAATTTAAAATTATTTGTTTTAAATACAAATTCCATGCCAATCATGCGGTTCATCCATCAGTCAGTCATTTGTGTGCCATATCCACATATTCAGGTCTCTTTCGTAAATTAGTCCCCGAGGCTCAATAAGATTAACTTGTATAACTAAAGATGAATGAATGAATATCCAATCTTATTTTGAAAAAACGCAATAGAGCGAGTCCGCGAAAAACGAACCATGAAGTAGCGAGGGACTACCGTTCTGTATCTTTGTACCTAGCGTGACTAGCACCAAGTTTCATTTGTCTAAATGCTAAACATTGCTGGTTAAACGCTTTAATCAGTTGACATGTTTCTCATGTTTTGATGCTTCTGTCTCTAGGTGGTAAAAGGCCTGACATATTTGTGGAGCCTGAAGATACTTCACAGAGGTGAGTAAGGTTGCTGCGTTATTAAAAAAAGAGCAGAGTTGATAAAGACAAGCAGCGGAGTGCTGATGTTGCAGTTCTATCAAGCAGTTTGTCTCCACAGATGTCAAGCCTTCCAATATGCTGGTAAACACCCGAGGACAAGTCAAGCTGTGTGACTTTGGTGTCAGCACACAGGTACACTGATTTGTTTGTATTAGAAGAAAGAAAGGGAAAGAGATGAAACCAAACAGTTGTGTGAGGCTGCGTGACACAGAGCTGTGCGGTCGGTGTGTTTGTGTGCATTCACAAACCTGTGTGCATATGGTCAGCCTGTCAATCACAGCATTCATTTTGTACTCAAGACATCAGTGCTGTCCCAAGAGTCTTCTTCTCACAGTAGCTCCCCCCACTTCCATTGTTCTGCAGCCTTCAAAAAATCACTTGTTATAATTATGATACCCCCCCTCGCAGTGCCAAGCCTCATTGATATGTATTCAGTAGATTGGGGAAAGCGTGGGTGGCAGACAATAGCCTTGTCATTGTGTGTGTGGGTGTGTGGGTGCACATGCACATGTGTCAAAGTGTGTTTTGTAATGTAATCATCAGGGACAGACCTTCTCCATTACCCAAAATATCAACCCTATAGAGTATGTCTGTTCTCTGAACACACACACACTGTCCCTTCTGTGGCACAATGCTATTTATACATAACCTTCCCTTCCTAGGCTACTCGAAGGTGAATTTTACACCTTGAGTCTGTAACACAGGCAACAATGACATGACCTAACCCCTGTTTTATTTTTAATGTTTTGTGTTTATCTGCCTCGTACACAATCCTCCTGTCTTGCTTTCTGCAGGACATGTTTTTTGTAAGCCGCCTGGGAACAGATTCATTATCCTGATGACATACAGACTCACAACTGTCTCCTTGTCCTGCCTTGTGCAAGGGTTGAACGTACCCCAAAGTTTCCACCTGACGTTTATGTCATGCAAATGAAATATTGCATTATGCAATTTTTATACTGTAGAACAATAATCAATCTCATATTGCTGCTTGAATGACTTCTCTTTTTCAGTATAATTATTTACGTTAACATTGTTGACTTTATTTGCAGTTGGTAAATTCTATTGCCAAAACCTATGTGGGAACCAATGCATACATGGCGGTGAGTTATCCTTCATTTTTATTTACATTTACAATAATTTTTTAGTATATATATTTTTATTTTTGTGAAGTTTATGTCGCACTTTGCTCACAGCCAGAAAGAATATCAGGAGAACAGTATGGGATCCATGCTGATGTGTGGAGTGTGGGCATCTCTTTCATGGAGGTATGCAAATTTTAAAAAGGCCTCAAGCATTATTCTCTATTTTATTTTTGTCCAGACAGAACTAGCATACATGTGTAAAGAGGGAGGGAAATTCCAACAATAGCAGTCGATTTAATTTCTTGACTGCACTTTTTGTTATGATGCGATTAAACTGTCCTGTTTTTAAGGTTGCTTGTTGCTTTGAATTACTCATCTCTTTTCATATTGATGTTGAACACGTTTAAATGACACCGTGTTTCCTAATAACACTTTAATTTCAGTGGAACACTTCCCTGTTTTCTTGCCCTCATGGTCTCACCATTGATTCTCCATCTGTTTCTGTTTGCAGTAACAGATGATTTGTGGCCCTGTCTCTCTTTTGTTTGTCAATAATGTTTATTATTATTGCAGTTCTAACAAAAATAGATGAGTTCACTGGGATGCAGCTATGTCACAATCATTGACAAATTATCTGTCTAATAAAGATGGAGCTTAAGATCGTTCCTTCTGGCCTTATTTCATTTTTCTAACTTTGGATGTGTGCATTTAGCTAAATTTTTAATTAAATTCAATTCAGTTTATTTCTATAGCACCAAGTCACAACAGAAGTCATCTCAGGGCACTGAACAGAAACATTTATATACATAAAACTTAAATTAATAACATTATCTGAGGAGCAGACTGCTTTGAGTCTAACTTCATCGCAGAACCAGGCTCAGGACAAGCGGCCATCTGCTTAGACTGGCTGGGCTCGAGAGGACCAGGAATGAGGAACAGATACACAATGGCAGGTCAAGAATCACATGTTAAGATAGAAATAATGTCAAATGAAAACTATTAATTTGTAACAATTCGTTTTAAGAAATTAGGCCAATTTGTCCTCGTCTAAGCCTATAGCAGCTTAACAAGCCAACCCTAACTATAGGATTTATCAAAAAGGAAAGTCTTAAGCCCAGTCTTAAAACTGGATAATGTGTCAGCCTCATGGACAGAAACTGGAAGTTGGTTCCACAAGAGAGGAGCCTGAGAACTGAAAGATAGGGGTGCACCGAAAAATCATCTGGCCGATTTCCTTGATTTTGGAAGATTGGCCGATACTTACATGAGCAACTGATTTTACTGATTTTTTTGTAGTTTTAACAACAATTGTCTAAACTTCATTTATATTTCAGAGCACTTCCTCATGGCCAGTTAAAACAAGTTTGTATGGTTTCTTAGATATTGTTCAAGGGTATGTTTTTCAATAAAACAAGATTGGCAATTGAAGGTGCATTGTGACCTTATAACACTTGGCAGTGTTGCTTATAAAACAAAATCAGTATCGGCAGGTCAGACTTTTTAAAGCTCGGTGATCATCCAAAAAACTGCAATCGGTGTGCCCCTACTGAAAGATCTTCCTCCCATTCTGCTTTTGGAAACTCTAGGAACTGCGAGTAAGCCTGCAGTCTGAGAGAAAAGTGCTCTGTTAGGAAAATATGAAACGATAAGATATCTAAGATAAGATGGAGCTAGGTTGTTGAGAGCTTTGTAGGTTAGAAGTAAGACTTTGAATTGGTTAGGTTCGATTTAAGATCTTAAATGAAATCTTTCTCAGCTATACAAAGCTGGAAATAAATCTTTGTCCACTTGATGACCTGTTAATATTCAAGGGAAAACAAATATTTTGTTTTGTATTTGCAAATGTTTTTGCACTACATTGTGAGTTTATTCACCCGGTCTTGTTAAATGTCACCTGCTTGCTTCAGAGATATGCTTTTTCAATCGTCCGTGCACTTTTGTATCAGTGGACTGACTAAACATTTGTGAATCTTGAAGTTTAATCTGGTCATTTTACCAATAAGATACATTTGACTTGAGATAAAAAAAATAAATCGTCTCCAAGTAAACTGTCAAGGTGAACAACAGCCTCTCCTTTCTTAAAAATAGCACACAGGCACACTTTACATATAAGTGACCTTCAAGCTTGTCCTCTATGTCTTTATCAGCCTGTCTTGTTCTCTGAAGGTGGTAATTGCTTGGAGTTTGTTAACTACTGCTTGATGTTGTTTGATAAACATGTTTTATCTGCAGGCTGGCTCTAAGTTTACACCGAACACTATAAGGCTCAAGTTCTGCAATCCCTTCGCCTATATTATATATCATTTCTGTTTAGTTTTAAATTATGTGCAGTTTACACTTTGGTTACACTTTGGTAGTGAGAAGGCAATAATACATTATTACATATATGCAATACTGTGCAAAAGTTTTGAGTCATCCCTTGTTTCTTCATGTTTTACTTTCAAGGAGTGAGATTTTCGTGTAATCCTTTAAAGCAGTTTAGTGTAATATTTCTGCAGATAATCTAAGGGTATTTTAAAGTTTAATTTTTTTAGTGTAGCTCCTTTTGTGATTCCAGTTTTCACCATTTTCAAAGGAACGTTTTATTGTTAAAGTTACGTACCTTTGATCTGCAAGTTATTCTGAAATTAAAAATACTCCTAAAATCAAGGAATAAACGTAGTTGTGTTTTTTAAGTACTGAACAACTTATCAAAGTACCAGTATTAAATGAAACATTTCAGGCACATTTTTACTGGCAGTGAGTCCATTTGTTTTAATTACTTTGGTTGATTTTGTTGTTTTATTTTTGTGGGGGTTTTTTTAAAGACCTTACCTCTAAAGTCTCTTTTCTCTTCACAGCTGGCACTTGGCATGTTCCCCTATCCACAAGTAAGTAGTTTTCAAGTGAAATTCTTGTTAAATGTTTGTTTTAAGGCCCATTGTCAGTATAAAATATGTAATTTCCATGTAAAAAGCTGGAAAATATTTCTCAGGATTTGTATTTGACAGATAAGGTCAGTGTCTTTTTTAGTGCAGCTATATTTTCCTTTATAAGACAATAGCTGTTCTAGAAGATACTGAATAACAAAAATATGTTTTTAGCTACTTTGTTGCAAAATGATCCTGAATAACGCCAACATGTCTACAAGATTTAAAATCTTTGAATTTGTTCAAGTTTAGTTGTTTACGAACAACTTTAAACATCTATTGTCTGCCACAGATTACAGTAAATGAAGATCCCCCTCAAATGTAATTGCTGACTAAAGAAGTGACTTCCCAATCCCATCAGGTCTTAATTAGTCCTTTAAGATGGGTTTATCTCACTAATCCCTCTCAGAGCACTCTGAATCTGGTCACCTCATGCAATCTCCCGTCTGCCAGCCTGCACAGCATCTTAAAGAGCAGATTTATGTTTGGATTTTATGGTGCCACAGTCCGTTCCTGAAGATGCATCAGTTTACATAATGTAGATTATTTTCCATCTTTAACTATCTGTGGGTTCAACATTTTTCAGTCAGGTCATCTGGACAGTTTCTTTTTTTGTGCTGAAACGTTTCGCCTTCGGTCCGGAAGGCTTCATCAGTCAAGGAAACACACAACAAAACTGATTCTTCCCCCCAACAGCTTACTCCAAAGTGGAACAAACCAGTTCTGCTTGTGATAAGATGGTCTCTTTGGTACGCCCCCTCCTCCATTGCCGGCCCTCTTCCTTGTTGACAGTCGTGTCAAACTGGTTGAAAACACAAAGCACAAAACAAGAAACTGTCCAGATGACCTGACTGAAAAATGTTGGATTGTATACCTGGATTATTGAGCATGGACTTTGTTATCTGTGGGTTCATTTAAACTACTTAAAAACAAATCGGTTCATTAAAAATGTTTTCTACACGGGGTTTGCCTAAGTGATTGTTTTCGGGGGTGCGAGCTATGATTCGAGGGACCGAATGCACAAACTGCTAAAGCTGGAGGGTTTTTAAAGGACCTTTAAAGTCTCAGCTCTCATGCATTAAATGTGTTTATTTGCAGTTCCTGGTGTATTTCATGTTGACGTCTGTCACTGTAGTTTAAATCCTACAAAGTGTTTTTCAGACGTGCACTTTTTTCTGTTAATCTGGCTGATCTTAAAGTGTGAGTTTCACAGTGTCTGAATGAGCACTCAGGTAATTTACTGTGATAAATCTCAACAGCAACCTTGCTCGATCTGCGCCAGTGACATTTATTTACCACTTTGAACTGCAACTTTCACAGCTCCAATAACAGATAGACGTACACAGTTACAGAAGGGTCTAATTTGTCAAACAGGGTGTTTCTCAGAGGAATCAGACTTATCACATTGTATATATGAAAACACTTTCTAAACGTTCCTGCTCCACTGGTTTTGTGATCAGAATGTTGCTCTTCAGAAGTATTATTTCACAACACTTGAGCTTGTATTGAAGACTGCAGCTGAATGTTTGCTTTAGTGTTTTGGGGTCATTCTGCAGCTTAAGTCTGCCACAATTTACTATTAATTGTGTAACCGCAAATAATCTGCTTAATCTTTTTATTCCCTGAAGAAAAGTTAGATAACGCAACACAAATGCCATGTTTTCATGTTCATTCTCACTGTTTGATGATCTAAGTGATACATTTTTGATTCAACATAATGTAGTAGTAACTGATAGTCGTTCCCAACACTTACTCCGAGCACTAACAACTCGTGAGAATGTACCATAAGCTATAAGCTATATATAATGTGGCATTATGTTAATTTAAAGAGTTCAGCATAATGGTTCTAACGCTGTCATTTCTCATTATAAGATTTTCCCAGTCTTATGAATGCTATAGCTTTAATTTTTGTCCTCTGTTGTGTAGCAAAGAGGGGGAATTGGAAATACCCTCTGTCCATCTGTCCGTCTGTTCAAAAATGTAAGCATGATAACGAAAAATAAGTGAGGTACCGACTTCCATTTTAGTGTGTCGCTGCATCCAGGAGTAACAAAGGTTCCTTTCAAAATTTGGGTTGCCACATCAAAATTCAAGATGGCTGCCACCACATATACATATACATATACATATACATATACAATACAATACAACTTTATTTATAAAGCACTTTAAAAACAACACCATTGGCCAAAGTGCTGTACACTGACACATACAAGCATAACAACTATAAATTCAACAGACACCGTAAAAGTAAAGAACTACCAAAATCATAAAACAGTAAACAGTAAAAACAATAAAACAAATAACTTAAAAACAGTAAAAATAACATTGTAATTGAGTCCCCGAGGCTCAATGGGATTAACCTGTATAAATAAAGGTTGAAATAATTTCAAGCTGAGTTAAAAGCCAAAGAGAAAAAAAATGTGTCTTCAGAGAAGATTTAAAAACAGGAATTGAGTCAGCTTGTCTGACGTGCAAAGGTAGTTCATTCCACAGTTTAGGGGCAGCAACTGGGAACGCTCGGTCACCTCTTAGCCTCCTATTGGACTTTGGAATAGCAATTTGGAATTTGGCAGCATTCTGAACCAGCTGAAGTCGAGACAGTAGTAACTGGCTCAGACCGACATAAAGTGAATTACAGTAGTCCAGACAAGTTGTAATAAAAGCATGGATTAAAATCTCAAATTGATGTCATGACAGAAATGGTTTGACCTTGACCAGTTGTCTCAAGTGATAAAAACTAGACTTGATCATTGATTAAATCTGTGCATCTAGTTTAAAATCATTGTCCATACTCACACCCAGGTTACCGGTAGTTGCTGTCTGGGTCAGATGTTTTGTTAAAGGACCCAGATTGGTTTGGACTTTGGAACCATCACTGGGCTTAAACAACAAGACTTTGGTCTTTTGCTCATTAAAATGTAAACAATTCTGACATCCATGCTCTGACTTCTGCCGTATATTCCAGGAGTTGGTTCACAAAGTACTGTTTGTTTTTCTAAAAAAGTTAAATCTGGTCCTCTGGACATCCAAAAAAACCCAACAAAACAAAGCAAATCAACAAAAAAAATGTAGAAACGTTTCGTCTCTCATCCGAGAGATTTCCTCAGTCTGAGGAGCTGTATTCAGCTCAGTCTCTTTAATAGCACCGTCTCAGAGTGGATCAACCAGTTTTGCTGCTGACAACCAAAACCAGCTGATTGGTCTCTCGGATGAGAGACGAAACGTTTCTACATTTTTTTGTTGATTTGCTTTGTTTTTTGTTTTTTTTTGGATGTCCAGAGGACCAGATTTAACTTTTTTAGATTTTTCTACCTGGATTATTGAGCATGCATCAGGATACTGTTTGTTTTGTTTTAATGGCACATAAATGTGGCTGTCATCAGCATAAATATGAAAAGTAACACCATGTTTCCAGAGAATATATCCCAGCAGGAGTAATAAAGGGAAAACAGAAGGGGGCCAAGTATAGATCCCTGAGATACTCCACATGTGAGAGGCGCTACAGAGGACTCAACAGCTCCAACGCGCACACAAAAGCTTCTCTCTGTTTAATACAGTCCTTCTCAAATAGTGGGGCGCGCTGGGGGGGGAGGGGGGGTGTATGCGACCCCGGGGAATATTTTGCGGCAGGGATTAGTTTTTTTTGTTTGTTTGTTTTTTTTTGGCACCATTCTCATTTTGTCAGGGTGCGTTCGATAACTGTTTGCTAAAATCCAGCAACTCTCAGTCTTACTAATAATAAAGGTATGAACAAATATGTCTGTCTTGTTGTTTGGGGAGCCATGCTTGAATCGTGTCGCTGTGACACCTCCTCAGCTGGAGACGCTCTGGATGCTTGTCACCCACAGCACACATTCGACAGAGAATAAAGTCAAAGCAAGAGCGTTACCTGCCCCTCTTCCTCTTTTACTTTAACTTTTTTTTTTTTTTAGTTTGTCAAACCATATTTTTATCTTTTTTTAAATACAGAAGTAATGTTTAATAAATGTTAGGATTCTATTCTTTGCTAACAAGTCCTCCGCTCTGGACGCATTTCGCACGCAGCAACAAAGAGTATAAACTCAAAGCGAGAGCAACACCTGCCCCTCTTTCCTCTTTCACGTTGACAAATTTTTTTAGTTTTATCGACTGTCAAAGCACACATTTGATGTTTTTTTTAAACTTGTTATAAAAACAGATGTTTAACAAATGTTAGTACTCTATTCTTTGCTAACAAAATATATTTTGTCATTAAACAACTTGTCAGGTTCTTCTCTTGTGAGCGCGTTCCCCTGAACCACCCCCCACTCCCCAGCCAGCTCGCTCGCTCTTGAGCTCTGTGCGTCTTCTCTGCTGTCACTGCACTGAAGACCAAGTCCAGGTCCAGCTAAACATTGAGCAGGAGCTGAGAGCTGCAGGATCATGTTTCAAACTGTGCTTCAAAAAGCTGTGCACTTCAAAACGTGCTCATTGTAGCCATTAACCCTGACTTCCTCATTTTGATAAAAAAAATAAAAACTAACCAAAAAAACCCAGCACAAATTGTTTTATTCATTTTTGTTTTGTAGGTCAAAGTGCTTTATATAACACTCCTGTCTTAAAATGTTGTGGATCAATTTGAATTTATTATTATTTATTGATTGTATTCAGTTTGATTGTTCAGTATCAAATGGTCAAAAATATTTACAGTTTTAATAAGGATATATATATATTTTTAATTTCAGGCACATTGATGCACTTTAAGCCTTTTCTGTTACAGACTATAAAACAATGTTAGTAATCTTTGTTGTAAGTTAGTAGGGGGGGTGGCTTGGGGTCCTCCCCAGAACATTTTAACAGGTTGTTAAACATCTATGTTGACCTACATTTGTAAACACTCTGACTGTCTGGGTAACTCGTTCGGCGCTCACCCCCATCACTCTTTTAGGGGCGGAGATGTTTTTAAGGGTAGAAGCGGAAATGCTTACTTCAAGAGGCAG